CATAGATTTGGAGCGTCATGAATGGCATTTCCAAAGGCTACTGCAGTTGCCTTCGATGCATATTGAATATATCAAATGATCGAAAGCTGTTAGCAGTAACGAACTCTAGGAAGGAACCAACCAAGAACCTACTAATCAATAATTACCTCAAACAAAATGGACACACACTGAGGAGACCGTTGGATGACAACATAGCAAGCCAGGCGATCGCTGGAGTGGAACCAGAGTGGGAAAACGATGAGTTAGGCATATGTGGTCGAGGTTGTCATGGAGGAAGTTGTGTGAAGAGGAGATGAGAGCTTATGGGCGATTGTGGGGCCAGTTAACGAGAACTGCAGAACATGGGACAAAGCGGAGATGTGCTTTTGAAGCCCTATGTTCCACACAGAACTGTGGTGGCAGAGTGGTTAGGACTCTCGCCAACCATGCACATGGTCCGGGGTTCGATCCCCTGCCGGCGCACACCCGATATCTATGGTCAGCCTGCAAAATTTGGGCTACCGATATCCATGTTGAAAATTCCATACTTGTACTGAAAATACGGTGTGGAATCAAGCTGTAATCAAAATAAAAAAATAAAATAAATAAATAAATAATAACTATCTGGCATGATAGATAGAACCTCTAAAATCAGTTGTTTCAAGAAGCACTGTATCACTACAATTTGTTTTTGCTATGTCCGTTTCAATGTGGAAGAGGTTAGTCAGCTAATTAATAGATATGGAAGCAGTCACCGGAATGATAGCATTACACAGCAGCAAAACCTCAGAGGAAGAATACATCAACAGACCACCTGACATAGCCATCAGTGAAAAACACTGAAACAATAATTTTCTACTTACCTTATGAAGTTCAGTTTTCAAATCGGTCAATTCAATTCCTGATTGACTAATAGGTGAAACATTTGCAGTATTAGTCATGTGAGGTTCATAGGATGATTCATTCCAACCAGGAAGAAGAGAACTATCCTCCCTGACAGAATCCAATAGAAATTGTGTGTTATATTGAACAAGTTGTTTAGGACTGGTATTAGCTGTTGTTACTGTGACTGACTCAGCTATTGTATTAGCTGGAAGATTCATCATATCTTGACCTTCTACACTCGTGATAAGCATTTCATCTGTGTATTGAGAGGAGAAGTATGGATAGAGTGAATTCAGCTTCCCTTCTTCATCAACAACATCATCATCATCCGTTTCTATTTGAGGAACAGGTTGATGAAATGTGGATGTGATTGGTGTATGCGTTCCAGGATTATACAGGTCACTATACTAAAAAAGGAGGGGGATACAATAATTGTTTTTGTTATGTATAAGTGATACGTTTGTGAGGAAATATCGACAGAATCGACAATAAGAGAACACATTTAAAATGCTGCCAAAATAACTAACTAACTCAGAGATAAACTTTGCCTGCTTAAGGACCAGATACAGCAGAGCCTACCGCAATTCGCGTGAAACAACCAGTGTTTTGTGTGCAAAAGAAGCAAGTCCAGCTAGCCACTACTACTGCTCTGGCCGGCCTTCAGTAGAGACTATAAATTCATGAATTTGTATTATTATCTTTCCTAATTTTTCTGACATTCAGTGTATTGTTATGTTGATGCTGTCGAACTGCAACCCATGTAACCCATGAAATTAGGGTAGTAACAAGGTGATGAGTTGTCACAAACAGTTGTTAAAAGAAATTATGTAATAATATGAATAGTTTGGTGAGTGAGTTTACTCAGGAAGCACATAAAAACAAAGTAGGTGATACGAAATTACGTAAGAGTTAAGGAACAGGCAAAGAAACAAAATTAAGTCATCAAAATCAAAAAATCAAATCAAAAAAGTTGTTACCAAGACAGTAGAAGTGGTTGAGTAATCCTCTTTTGTATGCACAGCTCCGGTTTTTCTGTGTGAATGGCCAGAGCTTCAGTGATACAAAGAAGACGAAACCGCATTGCCTTTGATAGGTTATTCTTGACTCTGTAGATTACTTCGAAGGAGGCGTTTGTTGAGATGGAATGATCAGTGGTAACCAGGTGTTCAATTATCGCACTCCTTATTGCACGGCTATTGTCTTTTCGCAACCATGCTGGATTCAAGAACACTATCCAGCTTAAAGTAGAAGATGAGGGAAGACACTAGTAGCACAACATCTTGATTAAGTTTCAGTTTTATTATAGCTTAATTCAACACAGTACTTTTTGGTACAAGTATGTAATTTTCAGCATGTCAGATCGGCAGCTGAAATTTAACAGGCCGACCATAGATATCAGGTGTGCGTCGGCCGGGAATCAACCCCTGGACCATGTGCATGGTCAGCGAGCGTCCTAACCACTGTATTGTGCCACCGACGCACAACAGAAGACCTCAATAGGCTTTCATAGGTTACAAATGAGTAGTAAGTGATTTCAATGTTAACTATACGGAGTGTTTTTTATTGATATTTAACATTCACCCCGATGGTTCAGTGGTGGAATGTTTGCCAGATACTCATGTGATCCTGGTTCGATTCTCGGACAATACATTTCTCGCCTAGTTTAATAGACAACACAGAAAGTCCAGAAAAGAGCAATTGTTGGGCGTGATGCTAGAGAGACCCACCTACGTAGAGAGATTACAGCGTCACTCCCGGAAATTTAAAGCCTGAGGCTTTCAATTAGGTGGTAAAGAACGAAAACAAACTGACTACAAAAAATTAATAAAATAAACAGTGAGGTAAATACGAGAAGTGAACCGTAGGACTTCAGTAAGCCATCTCATAGGATGGAATATATGAGAAGAAAAAGATGATTTTGCTATGAGCTGTCCACTGTTAAATTTGTTTTAGTCAACTTAAATATAAACATACAAACTAACTAACTAACTTGTCTTAATCGTTGTTCCCAGGCTGTCAACTGACTAGCTTCACTTCCACGACGATATATCTCCGGCACATTTTCAGCAGTACTGGTAGCAATAGTTGAACACTTGACTTCTGCGCTTTCTGTAGTGTTCAGTTTTTGTATCCATGAGGTGTCGCGTAATTTTCGTTGAATTTCTTGTATTAACTCTGGAGTTAACGGTTGATGACATCTACACTGTAGCTCTGTTTTCACGGTGTCTAAAATGAAATAAGAATTATTTTTAAAGTGTTGATTTGCTAAAAACGAATAAAACGAAAATTAAGTTGCTTTCTAATATTGGGAAAGATAGGTTGGTGTTTGTTGAAATTAAGCTAGTAGGGTATTTCATCATTTTTTTCAAATAATTTAATAATTGCAATTATTAGTGTTCTCTGAGCTGGTTGGTTTAGTTGCAGAGCTTTCGTCGTCCTTCTGGACAACATCTTCTGAGCAATATTTAGCGTAAAGTGAAATGATTTAAATTTCTTCATGAGTGACAGAATTGCGTCTGCCGGTAACCATCTTTACATATGTATTGACCATTTTCTATTGACTTTCTGGTCACCTGATTTACTTTTTATTAGTTGGTATATTTCGTCTATGTTAACGTGTTTGTTAATTGCATATTCGTTTGAGTGCCAGGCTTCTAGGAATTCCCTGACTGCACTTTCGGTGTTTCCTCTGTCTAAGATTCCGACATTATCCCAATCAAATTGATGTCCATAATTGTCTATATGCATTGATACTAAAGAATATATATCGTGTCTTTTCACGGCTGATTTGTGTTCTTGGATTCTAATTCGAAGAGGACACCCACTTTGACCGATATAATGCCTGTTACAGTTCATACAATTTATTTTGTAAATGGTATTAATTTTATCCCCTTTTTCTGTTGGATCTTTCGGTTTGCATACTATAGAATTAAGTGATTTTACTGGTTTGTGTGCTATATCTATATCAAACGGTTTCAGTATTCTAGCTGTTATTTCAGAGATATTTAATAATTGGTTGGAGGATTTCATCATAAGCTGACATCATTTACAGAACCATTGCAATACCTGGGAGTACTGCACAGTTGTTTCGTCAGCCTAGTTTAAGACTCTGTTACATTAAGAACACGCTATTCAGAGAAGACACCATTCACTAGAAAAGACAACCAGATGGTCAACTTGAAAAAGAAACATCTTCAAAAAGTCGACAAGTTCAGACAGATACTTAAACTACTATTCAGAACATCCCCTAACCACCAAAGTAACTGTAGACAAGAATCTGATTAACAAAACCAAACGTTTAGTTAGTGAGTGGGAGGAGGAGATCACTAGTGAACTAAAATTGGCTCAGTCTACACTTTAGTCAAATAATTACTCAAAAGCTTATATAAAAAGATATTTAAAATGTAAAGATAAGGACGAATTGCAGCCTTCTGCGCCAAGACTTCGGTTAGTACAGTGGTGATCCCTTACCGCAAACAAACATTGGATGAAGTAAAGCGAATCCTTAACAATCATGACATAAGTGTGTATTTCCGTGCAATGAACACCTTATTACTCTTATCACTGGTGAAGGTTAAGGATAAAATAGAAGAAGACCACAAAAAGAATTGTGTGTACCAGATCAATTGTGGAGATTGTGACGCCGTATATGCAGGAGAAACTTCCAGACAGGTAAATACAAGAGTGAAGCAGCATAAACAGTATTTAAAGGTGGTTACAAGGACTCCCACAGACTTGGAGAAACTAGAAAACAGATCAGCGACTGCACTGCATTCGACCTAAAAGGGACACAAAATCGACTTTGATGGGACTAAAGTTCTACAAAAATGTTTTGGTTGGTATAAGACTGACTGCGGAAGGCCTACATATGTGGGTGAATCCCAGAAGTTTGAACAGGCATGAAGGTGTAGTAATAGCTTACGGATAGCAAACCCTTATTATTAAATGAATGAAAAAATGGATTTGTATCACTAATTAATCATACCTGGTCAAAATTCCCAAAAAGGACGAAATGCGCATCCTGGATTCCACTGCTAGTCACCATCCACCAAACAAAATCTTTAACCTCTTTGGAGAGACTAACAAATGTTTTACAACTGTAACCCATACACACATACACAAACCAATATGTACTGCATATATGCATATATTTTCACATTCAGTTATCAATGACAATGAACTTTTAGTCGAACGTATTCTGATGAAAAAGTACACTCTGTTTGAAGCTTTTAACAAAAGTAGACCAATATTTGAAAGTCTGAGGTCAAATTTTGATCACAGCTCATACAATTTTTAAAACAATTAGTTCCCTTTATGAATTTAGATAAAGCAATAAGAAGACGTAATTTGTCTGAATCGTGTAATGTATTTATGCAACACGTTTCAAACAGTCTGATCCATCACACACGGACTTGTCATAGGAATATAAATGAAATTAATAAAGAGTTAAGAGGTGAGAAAATAAACTACTTAGGTCAAGTTAAAAGGACATATTGAAGGTCGAAATAACAATGAAGATCACTAAACCAAATAACAGAGGTAATAGTACATCTACTCTGGCTAGTATCTAAACAAAATTTACCAAGGTTTAATGTGATGACGAATTGTTTTTAAACGCATAAAGGTGGCTTAAACTTTCTAATTGCTAGGGCTTCCACAAACTTAGGATACGCCCTCCCCCAAACACGTTTTATAGATAGGTTTAAAAGATCTGTTAACGTCAATTTTATGTCCTGTCTCTATAATATGTTTCGCAATAGAAGAGCTAGGTCTCCTGTTCTCACCGGTTAAAAATACTTTTTATGCAGCTAATATCATAATAATATAGAATGTTAAGCCATTAAATCTAAGCCCTTCGAACATGCGCAAAATGATGTCACATCCCACTGTATTTACCAATTTGAATGTACGTGTGGACACACATACATAAGGAGGAATCATCGATCTCTGCGAGTAAGGGCTTCGGAGCATATTCCTAAATGGCTCCAGAAACAAATGGAATCTTCAGAACCTATTAACGGTGAAAACAGGAGACCTAGCTCCTCTATTGCGAAACATATCATAGAGACAGGACGTAAAATTGACGTTAACAGATCTTTTAAACCTATCTATAAAACGTGTTTGGGGCGTATCCTAAAGTTTGTGGAAGCCCTAGCAATTAGAAAGTTTAAGCCACCTTTGTACGTTCAAAAACAATTCGTCATCACATTGAACCTTCCTTGGTAAATTTTGTTTTGATACCATAGCAGTTGTACTATTACCTCTGCTATTTGGTTTAGTGGTCTTCATTGTTATTTTGACCTTGAATATGTCCTTTTAACTTGACCTAAGTCTATTTTCTCACCTCTCACCTCTTTATTAATTTCATTTATATTCCTATGACAAGTCCGTGTGTGATGGATCAGACTGTTCGAAATGTGTTGCGCAAATACATTACACGATTCAGACAAATTACGTCTTCTTATTGCTTCATACAATTTTGATTGATTATACATGTTGAGGCCTGTTTCATGACTCATATGATCACACAAAGTTTTTAAAAGAAGAGATGTCCTTTTTATGTATAAACCTCTGTTATGTTAATTTCTGTGCGTCGGTTGGACAGCGGTAGAATGCATGTAGTCCGTGGTTTGATTCCTTGTTGGCTCACTCCTTTACCTCGCTAAGCCAATAGTAAGACTAGTAAAGAGGGAAGGTTGGGCATGAAGCTAGCAACTCCATCCTGTAAAAATACGCACCACTGCTACAGAAACTTGAAGCCACTAGCCGTATGTACCACTGTGGACGCGAATGAATAAAAAAAGTTAATTTCGATTAATTTCCCTGAAGAAGTTCAAACCAGTTTTCCGAACGCAGGAAACGTTGGAATTACTCGTTTCAATTTCGCTGATATTTTACGAATATAATTTATGCACACGTCTACTTCGTATTCGGCGCGCAATTATTTTGGAACTGTTCGGTCAAATCTTGATCACAGTTAATATGAATTTATTGTCAAGCTGTACAGTCGTATATATATATATATATATATGCATGCATATATACAAATTACCTCACATACTTACTTACCTGACGGTCGTCTCACTGGTCCACAATTCACTGGTAAACTAAAGCGTTTCTGATGTCGAATAAACTGAGCTTTCCACAACTCATTTCTAAACTCTTCACCAGTTTGATTAAATTTTTTATGTGTAAGTTTCCACCATAAACCCAGAGGTAGACGTCTTCTATGCGAATGGAGAGCAGTGAATAAAGACCGCTGTTGAGCAGCTAATGATCGTGAACGTGATTCATGTGTTTGTTGGCCTGGTGTTGTTAGTGTTGTTGTTGCCACTGGTGCAAATGCTGACGAGGATGATGCTGATGATGATACTGACGGCTTTAAAGGATCATAATCAGTGCAGGGTATCTTATCATACATTGGTCGAGATGTTCTCACCCAATCGGATAAATTAGGCAGATTTACAGACGGTGATGCTGCTTCTGTTGACTCGGGTCTAGATGCGCGTACAGGATTGATCACAGCTAAAGAGGAGTTTTCACTTTCGGCACCAGAACTCTGTGAGTATTCGATAAAAATAGCCAAAAGGTATTTGTGAGGAGAATTTTAAAGAAGTGGTAAACAATCTATTCAAAACACAAAGCTGTTGTAAATACACAATAAAGTAAGTTGAACATTCATATATATTAACTAAAATATTTTCGTCTGGGTAGCTAAATTAGTTGATTTTCTAACTGTAGAAAAATATTTCTTTAATTTTTTGTTTTTCTGCAATTTTTGGCAGATTCCTTTCTAAGTAAACTAGAAAATAGACCTTTGAACAACCGCTTATCAACAAAATTCTCATTTTATTGTCGGTATATGGATGACACTTTTATTCTTTGTGATAATCATTCGGATAGGAACACAATAATAACTCAATTCAACGAAGTACATTCTGCTATGAAATTTTCGTGTGACGAGGAATCCCAAAACAGAACTGTCTTCCTGGATGTCCTCCTAACAAGAGAACCAGATGGTAGTGTGAAGGGAAATTTGCATAGGAAAAGTACATGGACAGGACAATATACACATTTCCATAGTTTCGATCCCCTCCAGTGCAAAAGAAATATAGCAAGGACCCTCTGCCACAATAGCGTCAGCTCTATATGCTCAGAAGAAGTAATTTGAGATGAAACTAAGCATTGTATATGATACCTTGATTGAAAATAGCTATCCTGACAAATTTATCAGGAAACATAAGACAAAGAAAGCAAAAAAGGACTACTCACTATCCGTAAACAAGAAGCCTTTATACATACGACTGCAATTCAAGGGAGATATACCAAGCTAGACAATTACGAAGAAGCTAAGAAAATCAGTTCAAAAAACTTTTAACGTTGCCAAACTACACGTCTTATTCTCTACACGACTGATGGTGACTCCCCGACTGAAAGATGAAGTACCTGGACCAGCCACTTCCAGTTGTATCTACCGATTCAACTGTGTTTGTAGAACAAGTTATATAGACCGTTGTTCTAGGAACTTGATTTTTCGTTCTCAAGAACATCTCCCAGTATGGCTAAGTAAAGGTGTAGCAAAAACCATCAACAGTTGGATATTAGACCACCTAGTCCGAACCGGCCACAAAGCCAGCATTCAAGAATCCTTCTCTAACATCTACCGTGTACCGAAATGCCAGAAACATCGAGGTACCGCATGCTGCAAACAGCGGCGGCTATCGGGATTCTCGTGAAACAACCAGTGCTTTATGTGCAGAAGAAGCCAGGCCAGCTGGCCACTACTACTGCCCTGGCCTTCAATGGTGACTACACAATCATGAGTTTGTGTTATTATCTATCCTAA